GTTTTTTTCTACTTTTTCTTTCTCCATTGACCAACTTCTCACCTGCAACGTCATTATAGGTGGTCCTTACCCGCGAATTCGTTCCTGGATTGTTGCTTTAAAGATGCATTTCGGTATGTCTTGGGACTATAAATGGTCCAGACATCGGTTAAGTGTGAAAGGTTTTCTTTTACAAATATTATTATTGGCATAGCTTTCAAGAATGTTGCGGAGTGCTTAACCAGTGTAATTGTTCCTGCATATCATCCAGTACCTGCGATGGACTCCTAGTCACTATGCCGACATTGCCGCTTTCTTGAGTACTTCTATACTTCAAATCGTATTTCTATTCACACTATATCTGGAATTCGCTCTGATTTTCAGTTGAATCAGGAAGGAGCTCACTCATTTAAAGGCACAACCCAGGCAGAGGTCGTGTGAACGCTTCTCTTCGGTCTGTAGTATAGACCCCTAGAGGACAATCACAAATGTGGCGTTCCGTGCACGGAAACCAACCGACAAGAGCGCTTGGGCCTTGCAAAGTAAGCTGCCCAAGCTGCAGATTTTTTTTTCTTATCAGGCTGTTGTCTGGCGCTCTCTCATCTGTAGCGCTCTCTCGCCTCATACTCTCCTCTCCGCGCTTAGTCTCTCATTCCCTTAGCACAGCCTGCGCTGCCCATTCCTCATTCTCAGATTAAACATATTTGAAAGAATATTCGCTGCCTATGGCACAGAGTGTTAGGTTTTCTCCAGGTCAGAGAAGACACACTCTTTTCTTATCATTGGCCCTAGAGAGCACTCTTTTCGGCTCCCTAACACTAAGGATAGCGCTTCTGATAAGGGCCGGTGGATGTCCTACATTCCACACATCCTGCTCACATCCTATCCAACCTACAATAGTTATCTACCTTGGTCACTGTTGGGCTTTTTCGTGGACAGCTGCTCAGAGATAGCAGAAGTATTGGTCTTTCCCTACAGGGTGAACCTGATCCGTATTCTCTGGCATGGAGTTTTCTAGGAGCCTAACAAGGGAGGTCTTTCAGGGCAAGGTGCGCTTTTTGGAAACGGTTTAGTACATGTTGTAGGGACGCATGTATGGACCACAAAACCATGTTTCGTTTTCGCTGAACGGTTTTAGTAGTACCAAAAAAGTGGTGAATAATACTCTTGATGGTTCAATCCCCCGCGGCGACTAAATTTTGCAATCAAGGTTGGCGGCCACTTGTTGGCTTCAAAATGGTCCTGACGATGAGCTCTCATCTGTCTGATAATGAATTAGCAAACCTCCGCCTTTTGATTTTAGCGCGATTTGGCACCAACCCGTAGGCGCCAACCCAAATGCAAAATTCAGGTCCATTGGCAGTACCTTATGCTTCTTTTTTGGTACTGCTATAACCGTTCAGCGAAAATGAAACATGGTTTTGCGTTCCCTACATGCGTCCCTACAATATGCACAAACCGTTTTGAAAAAGCGCACCTTGCCCTGAAAGACCTCCTTGTAAGGGAGCGGTCAGATTTTGCGACCCATCGCTATCGGTGAAATTCCGGCGACACGAGCGATGCACAAGCGAATGATCTCACTCTGACGCATCACTGGATTTTTTTTGAATTGCTTGCGGATCATGGATTCCCTGATGATTGGTCGAAAAGTTTGACACCTGCTAAGGTCTTTGCTATTGTCTCTCCCCCAACCTCATTGATATTACCATTCAAATTTATCAGTAATTCTGGAGAAACGTGCAATGTGTGGCCCATCCTAAAGAGCCAACAAACATCGTCTACTTCAACAGTGATTTACCATTTATGGAAAGAGCTAATGTTTCCTTATTGCAGGGTTTGGATGCATGTACAGCAGTGGAATGCAATAATCGAGGCACGTGTCTTGGCACGAAAAAGGCCTACATTTGTGCATGTGTGTTGGGATATTCTGGACGGAATTGCGAAGATAGTAAGTCCTCATGTTTGACTCGCCACAAACTCTTCCTAGATGCATAATTGTTCGAGCGATTGGAAGCGTAGCTTGTTCAGACATGTATCAAACTTCTATCGGATTCATACCTTTTGATTTTTGAACAATGCACATTCATAATCAAGGGTATATAAAGAAATCAGAAGAAGAATTTTTCCGAGTGTAGATCGAACTCTAGTAATCCTTGCGTCACGTTGCCTGCCAACCGCCCATCTGCCTACTGCGCTATTCGAGAGTCATATCTCCGGGTACCCCCCAGGAGGCCTGTCGCGGACGAGTCGCAGCGCGTGAGCGATGTAGGACGTACAATGGACATTCTATTTAACTTGACGCGAAATCCCTACAGTACGCGCGGACTCGTCCGCTGACTCGCCTTCTTGTCGCGCGACGGGCCTCCTGGGGGGTACCCCATATCTCCAATCGATTTTCTGTTTCTAGCAATGTGTGAATCGGTACGAGACTGCAACGGAAGAGGGATATGCTTCGGCACGACCAACTCGCTCACCTGCCTCTGCAATCTCGGCTATACTGGCAAGCGATGCGAAAGGACTGTTTGAGCGGTTTTTATCGATTCATTGATTAAAATGCACACTTTCTCATATTTTCCTGTGATCGCTCGTGTAATTGTAAATAAACTGTTATATTTCGTTACATAATTACTTGTAATTCTCAGAAATGGGTTTTTTGTAGGAAAATAAATACGATTGATCGATGCGAAAAACTGAGTGTTTTGTCAAATCCAGAGAGTTCCTCACCTGAGAATAAAAGTCAATCTTAGACCTTCGATAACTTGTTTGATCGCCCAGCTGGTTTACATAGTTGCTTGACTCCATATATGTAAACAAACAAACAAATATGTAAATTTGGATGGAAAGGGTAGATGGAACGGTGTCGGCCTGTTGTGACCGTAAGGGCAGCACACGCTAGGCCCTGCTACGAAGATTTCTACGAAGGACCTTCATTGCACATATCTAAACATGGGGGGGTGCAATAAAAAATAATTTTGTCTCCACATTCAAATCGATTTAATCACACTTTGCTAAATATTTACAAACCAACTGTTTTCAAGTCAGAATGACCTTTGGCATGAGAAGATCTGCTTCGGAAATGTGGTGCACTGGTCGAGCTCAAGGGGATGCTCGATGGGTTGTGTACCATGAGACGTTTTTTGAGGAGCGAGTTTCGAGGGGGGTTTGCTTAGTCAAGCTAATGTCTTTAGGAAGCCTATTCGTAAATGTGAACGATCTGAAATTCTGCAGGAGCTCGAAGCTCGCAGTTACGATAGGTCTCCTTGAGAACTACGACGATGGCAGATAACGCCATATTCTGAAGATGGTAAGGGCAATGAAGGATTGTTTGCGTCCACTAATGGAAGGACAGGAAGTCCACTCATGGAAGGATGTACTTAGGGTTTGGGAATATTTTGCTGTAATATATTAGGATGGTAAAGAAAGTTCTGAGCCGATTTTTTGAAAGCTCCAGAACTTTCGCTTATTGGTCGATACCTAGAATCTGCTACGTGATAGACTATCGTTGTCGATCATACTTCTCCGCAATAGGTATATATTGCCGGGTTGCCTTCTTTAACTTTAATAATGATGGTGATTCCACAAGAACACTTTCGAGCGATCATCTTCAATGAATCGCGCTGCGGCACAGGAGCAGTGGGAACCGTCAACATTATCAGCATCGCATTGGGAAGGGTCACCACTTCCATCATCAGTGCCAAGCTCTGGTTCGCAGGCTTCGAGGGAGGAGACACGGCTTTCAAAGAAAAGACAAGGTTGGGAAGCCCACAAAAGGTGGAAGACTCCACCGTTCTCGGCGCTGTCGAAGAGGATCCGGACGTTAGCACCCGCAGCCTTGTGATAAGACTCGGGTGCACCCATCCCACAGTCCTCGGTCCCCTCCACGCCCTCGCCACAGGAAAGTGGTGACTCGATGGATTCCTCATGTCTTGACCGATAGCACGCGGTTCAGGCGGGTACCCATTTGTCAGTTTCTCCTTCTTTGCCCGCACCGAAAGGGTTTTTGGAAGGCGTGATTACGAGAGATGAGAGTGGGGTCCTCTACGATTCTAACAAGCACGGTGCCGTGTGGCTCCCTCGAAGAGAGGGCCTGCCGACACAAGCAAAATCGGACCTTCACCCCAAAAGCTGTCTCCTTTGCTACCTCTGGGATTCGTGAGGAATGCTGTACTATGATATGCTCCCGTAAAGACATACCGCTACCGGCAGCATTTACGCCAGTCAGCTCTAGAAACTAGCGGACGCTGTTCAAGAAAAACGACCGAGACGAACTTCTGTCCACCTACTCCACGATGACGCCAGGCCCCACAAAGTTAAAGAGACCCGTGCAGAATTGGAAGAGCTGATCTGGGACGCGGTTCCCCATCAACCCTATTCCCCTTACATTGCCTTCTCTGATTATCACTTACTCTATCCCCTTAAGGGATCCCTAGCGAAGAAAAAATTCACCAAAGGTAAAGAAGTTGGAAGAGCGGTCAGCGATTTCTTTGACTCTCAGTCTGCTCAGTTCTGGGAGAAGGAAGTCGCTGAACCTGCCCATTAGGTGGGACTCTGTAGTGAGTAACAATGGTGATTATATTGTTGGGTAGATTCCATTCTACGCGGAATAAAAAAGCAAAGAACAAAAAAGTGTCAAACGGCTCAGGACTTTTTTACCACCCTATACTTTGTCAGGGCGGAAGTGGTGTAGTGACAAGTGGCGCGCTCACCACGCGAGCGGTCCGGGGATCAAATCCTGGTCGTGAGTCCCGGGCCAACCAAGCCTTCCATCCCTCCGGGGTCGGTTAATTGGTACCAGACTTGTCTGGGAGGATAAAACACTGACTTGTACATCGGCTGGCCCCCGCAAGTCATTGTATAGGCCACATCGCATTCAAACGCCACTACGAATGTACAAATGGAAGTAGAATGCGTGCCGCATCCCAAAAAGGGATTGATCAACGGCAAATGCTTTATCCTTATCCTTATTTTCGTCAACGAACTACCACTTTGCGACTCAAAATCGCTGAAGTGCGACATGGGCAAAATGTCTTCCCCCCTAATTCTCGCAAGCATGCGCACCGTTGCGATGCGTGCCCACACCTGTCATGTTCTGATGACACTACTGGTACGGCTGCCCTTACTTGTAATGCACTTCTGAAACATGGCACAATGTAATGTTAGCATTTCACGCCACAATCTCTCGGCTGTGAATAGATGGGAATTGAATGAATGGCCCCACTGTGGTCCCGACGCCTTGTGGGAAGAGGCACTTCATTGCTACAAGACAGTGTTCACATTCCTCTCTCACAAAATGGCGACACTTTGTGCGGTAGAAAGGCTTGGTTATCTTCAACTGGCAACTACATGGGTGGTACCTGACTTCCTTGTCACACTCTAACTCCCCTCCCCTTGTAAGGTATCGATGGCTTCCAGTGTAGACTGTTTCGAGTTACGCTAACTCAGCAAGCCTTTCAAGCCAACATAGCTTTTCAGCACTTTCTGAATAGTGCTCATGTGCAGCTACGTAGCGACTGAGTTAGTCAGCGCCGTGGGGTTTTGTCTTTTGTAGTGTATGCTATTCACTCGACTTTCCGAAACCTCAAGGAATCTCCGTAATAACATGGCTAGAATCAACGTTGGTAATGCAAGGAATCTGCTGAAATAGCTTGCTTACCTGAGGCTTTCCTTCTCGCCTGATTAAGATTTTTTCCTTAAACTTAATTCAGCTTCGTCTAAATGGACTTGGCTCTTCCTTTCTCTTTCCTACGGTATTTTCGCATCAAAACCGATTGCCGCTCTTCGTTTCGCTTGTGTTTTTGACTGTGACTGAAGAGAATGTCCCTATTGTCTTCTTTGTTCCCCTGTGAAGAGTTTGTGACGCTTACCGTTCAAGATCAAGAGCACCTATTTTGCCATTAGGTGCTGAAAAAACAAATAACAAGGAATTGCTGGTCATGGGTGAGCAGAACGCGCAATGTCTGCCATATTAGTTTTTTCTCCCGAATTTGGGCTATTTGCAATGAAATTTAGCTCATACCAACCGAATTTACTATATTTTACTTTTTATTTTGTTATAATTTCTTAGTTTATTTATTTTATAATAGCCTTGTTTAACTGAAATTGGGCAGAGAGCTGTAAGTGCAAGTGGTCAGGCTTACCATGCGCACGGCCCGGCCCGCCGGAGATCAAACCCTAGGCGTGGCGTTATCCAACTAAGAAATCCATCCCTCCGGGGTCGGTTTATTAATACCAGACTTGTCTGGGAGGATAAAAACACTGACTTGAACATCGGCTGGCCCCCGCAAGTCATTGTATAGGCCACATCGCATTCAAATGCCACTGCGAATGTACAAATGGAAGTAGAATGCGTGCCGCATCCCAAAACGGGATTGATCAACGCCGAATACTTTATCCTGTTTTTATTGTAAATTGTAGATTTTATCTTATTTTATTTATTCACCAAGCTTCGGATTGAACGATGCTTTTATAGACTTCATTTTCAAAATCTATTACATTTTCAGTATTCTTATTGTTTTCGACACTTTTTGAACTCGGGAAGGGAGGTTCTGGACACTCGCTTGCTTACTTGTTTTGTTTATTTTCTTGTGCCCATCAATGATGGTGTGCGTAAGCTTAATGTTGTGTTGGGTGCTCTGTTATGGCGACTTAAAAGCAATGATAAACAAGTAAATAAAAATTTATTTGAATATGTTTTATAATTGTTCTTCATAAGACACTCTGTGAACAACCCACTGTAAAATGAACTTTTTATGTCGATCTGTTGCAAAGGTCGAATGCACCAACAAAGAGCAACCTACACTCCCCCACAACGGCTATTACTCAATGTTCGTCTGGGGCTCCCCCCGGAATAGTGACATCTTTCAGCGGCCATTGATTGACGGACCTTGCTGTTTTGGTTTTTTTCAGTGCTGGGTGGATTGGCAGTACTGATCTGACCAGTAGTGTCTTCATCGATCAGCTGTCAGCTAATCCGCCTCTAATATTAACATAGTCAACGTCAATACTCTGGTTAGGCGGAATGTCGCATGGCCCATTCCGACGCCTTCGACTTGTGAGACATACCCCCCACCCCATTCATCTGCTCTCCTACACCTGGCCGATGGAACCTCACAACATCGCCTGATAGCTATCACTGCTATCCAATCGACACCATGATATATCCACTTATCTACCGCTGCTTAGTCCACTAGACCAGCAACGGTGTAGCGCGCTGCATGAAGAAACGAGTAGAGGTCACTCTCCGCGGTAGTAGTGCACTAGTCGCTCGCGCTTCACGGACCTCCGGGAGTCCCGCGTCGTGTACCGTAATCTTGCTCGCCGCCCTAAAATTGCCTCCCTGAGGCAGTTTCCGAATTAGATATCCGCTATGATCATCGTTCGATTTCATTTCGCTAAAGCGCGTTTACTGCAACAAACTTTCAACACCGCATTTCTAATCTACGTCTCTCTAACATTGCCCCGGCATCATCCTCACACTTATGCTTTCATATCTGCTCTTCATATACGTCAAATATCACCCGTATCACCTGTCGTCCGTTGATCATACGAATTGCTCGAGCGGGCGCCAGCAACGTCTCCATTCGTCCCTGTCGCGTGCAAGAGTTGTCCAGTGGACCCTCCTCGCTCGAGGGACACGAAGTCCTTCATTCCTTTCGTTCAGAGCTTTCGTGAAGAAGTCTGACCATCGGGCCGGCGGTCGTCCAGGTGTTCGTTTGACGTCCCGAGGGATCCAGTCGGTAACCGCTCTGGTCCAACGGTCATCGCAAAATCGCATGACGTGTCCGGCCCACCTTATCTTCGATTCCTTGGCGAAAACGGCAGCGTCCCTGATCTTCGATCGTAGTTCGGCACTCCGGATTCCCCTCTGCACTTGCGTGTACAGGGTTACTCCTAGCATCGTCCTCTCGACAGCGCGTTGGATAACGCTGACCGCATGCTCGTCCTGCCTGCGCAGAGTCCAAGTCTCTGAGGCGTAGGTTAGGGCAGGAAGGACAGCGGAATCGAAGAGGTGGGCACGGAGCCGGATGTTCTTCGTCTTCTTCACTACTCCCTCGATGTTCTTGTACGCTCCCCAAGCCGCTCGTTTCCTCCTGCTCAGCTCTGGAGCTAGATCGTTCATCATATTGATTTCCCGACCTAGGTACACGTAGCTGGAGCATTCGGTGATGTTCGTTCCGTTGAGCAAGGAGAATATACCTCGTCTAAAGGCAGGCGAGCTCCTAATGTGCGCGACAATGCACATTTCGCGGTGAACAGTATGTTCCTAGGTCGGTCTAGCCGCACCCGTGCCGCTGGCGCCGCTGCACGCCGACCCCTCGCCGTCTGACTCTAGCCGTTCAGCAGAGAGAGCGTTAGCGTTGAAGAGGGCAGCACCGATGAGAGTCGCATCAATGCGGAAATCAACGGGCAAAAAAGGGTCCCATTTTTCGGGTTCTGGGCCGTTTTTCATGGTTTTTTCTTCATCCCTATCCCACTGACCACCTCTACCTTAATTTCTAATAAGCAGCCTATCCATCGTAAGCGCCGACTTTGAAGGCGGATGTTACGGTAACTGAGTATGGAAGAAGGGCAAATATGCTTACTCAGAGTGACGCCGATCACTCACAGAAGCGAGAAGAGGCTTACATCGCGGCACTAGGCTCATAACCTAGGAAATCCTAACTTTGGGTCTTCTGAAGCTGTAATCAAAACGAGTGAGAACGGCCCAATTTCGCGATCAAACCATTCTCTATCTGGTTCTCCTTGACTTAACCTCAATCACCATGACATTAAGCTCCCATGATCAGATCCGCCTTCAAGAGGTATGGCTCAATGATAACAAAAATGAGTCAAAAGCTCGCAGCAGTCATCGAAGGCGTGGCGTGTCCCGACATAAGAGCGTGGAACACTTCATGTTCCATTCTAGTCATTCTGTAGCAGCCAACGCCTGCTAGCCAATTATCAAGCTGAAACTCCCTGATGCGACGTGTTCACTCGCCTGGAGTCCTCAGTTTCATTCAGTTCGACTCAGTTCGACGACAAAACAAAAGCAAACGAAGAGCATCGAAGCGGAAATGCGATGGCCCACCACGGCGCGCTGACCAAGCGAACGAAGATGGCCGTTGCGCTTCGTGTAGAAGCGAGTGGATCTTTCTAGAATATTCAGTCGAGCGCACTTCTACGAGAATTACGCATGGGGGTATGTGTGTCGTAGTTATTCCAGTCAATCTCGTAACGCTTCATCGGCTCCCTCCGGGCAATCCTTCAGTAAATCGGGGGTTTCAGAAAAATCTAAGCGACGGGGTTCCCAGCAGAAATTACGTGGCTCCATTTTCCCCTACAACGTATAAATTAAAAAGCAGTGAGTAAGGAGTAACTGATCCTTTGATTAAATGGGCCATGCGTTCTGACTTTAATATTGAAGACTCGTTAGTGGTACTTGGATGCAATTTACGCGCGATGAAAAGACTTGCCGGGCCCAGCCGATGTGAACGGCGGTTTATCTTTCCCACACAATTCTTATACTGAAGACTGACCCAGGAGAGATGGGAGCAGGTTCAACCGTAGCCGTTAGCCCGATTTTTCAAATTTTTTTTACCGCACATTACCCCTTCGGCTCTCTCTCTAACTGGTCTCGGTACAACCCCCTACCACATGAGGGGAAGGCTCACCCATGAGTACGACCTCCGTCCCCCTCACCACAATGGCTGTTTGTATATTGTTTATTTCTGGGAATAGTCGACACACCTTAATTCCACTCGCCACAAACTGGAACGACCGTCGAGAGGAGAGGGAGGAGAGCAGAAGTAGGAGGTAGAACATGTCCTAAAGAACTGCACATGTTCTAGTTTTGCTTCATTTCACGCGTAATAATTTTGCTATAGAAGTTTCGTCAAAAGTTGCCGAAAAAGCCATCAAAAACGAACCCTTCTCCTGCATCCACGGTCTCGACAACTTCCCAAAAAACGACCGACTTTGACCTTGTGCCCCCCAGCGCCAGTTGCGACACCCTTCCAAAAATCCGTAATACGACGGGCACGACGTCTGAATGAGCCGGATGGATAAGTGATGTGGGTAGAAAGGCATTCTCAGCGTGGCACGAATTCAGCACGGATTAGGTCTTGAGTCTTGGCGCAAACCTGCTTTTATTGGTTTTTATTTAAACCTGTATCACCTGTATCACCTGTCGTCCCGTTGATCATCGAATTGCTCGAGCGGGCGCCAGCAACGTCTCCATTCGTCCCTGTCGCGTGCAAGAGTTGTCCAGTGGACCCTCCTCGCTCGAGGGACACGATGTCCTTCATTCCTTTCGTTGAAGAAGTCCTGACCATCGGGCCGGTGGTCGTCCAGGTGTTCGTTTGACGTCCCGAGGGATCCAGTCGGTAATCGCTCCTGGATCCAACGGTCAGAGGACATTTTATTTACGGCACGAAAACATTTATATACCTGTTTGAGAAATGACTGGACGTTAGAAACCTAAGGGGACAAGTTACCCTGTCTCTCACCCTCACGGGTTCACACACCATTCTCCCCAAAAGCGAATTTTAGCGGTCCTTCGTGGGCCTGGGGCAGGTTCACAGTCATCCTGGGGACTTCTCTCGGACAGTTCACTCATCGAGATAGCGATCTCTTCTGCGCAAGCTAAAAAATCATATTTTTCCCAATGATTATAGCCAAAATATTCATAACTGAAAAAAAAACGCTGCCCGAAAAGAGGGCTCGGCAAATAAATGGGCGACTAAGGCCAAATAAAGGCTCGTAAATAAGTAAAGAACAAAAAAACAAATGAATGAATGGACAAACGGTTCAAACGAGCTCAATATAGTAGCGTATACATTGATCCAACATGCAGCTTTTCACTAAATATTGAAAAATTTAATTTTTTTTTCAGCTTGATCTAAACATAAAATTTCAACAGGATGGTCGTAGGCAATGACTGGGATGTCTATCATTCCAGTACTAGTAAAGAAGCTGTTAAAACTCAACCCATAAAGTATCGCGAATTATATCTTCGAGCTTATCCAAACCCCTTTCTCGCCTACTTACCAAAACAGGGCATGCTCAACACTTGTTGACATTACCTCAGCTATCCGTGTAGGTATTTACGACCCATCCATCCTCCCACCTACGTCGTGTACAGCTCAGCCCTCACTTATGAATTCACCCAATCCCTCCTCAACGACCATTGTTGATTATTCAACGTTCATGCGAGATGTCGTAATGGTGGCGTGGACGCTTTGTGCCGTCGTGACGCCGCCGCGCCGTGCGATCGTCGCCGTCCTCCGTAGCGATTTGTGATTTACGTAATATGGCAGGCCAAAGGTGAGAATAAACACCACCTTTTACCGTAATCGGCGCTATAATGGTGCAAGGTGCAAATTGGTTCGACCCACAAAGGTCGCGAATAAGCGAGACACTTCAAAATCTGAACCCATTACCTGAAAACGTCGAGCGGCCCACTGCTGAAGTTTTATGGAATGGTGCTCCATAAGTTTTTGAGGACAGATTATAAAAAGTTTCATGCCAGCTGTTAAAATACTGGGTAGGGATGAGGTAGGGTAACAGATATGTTCCGTGGATGGGATCTCAAGACCGTAACACTTTCTACAGCTGCGATGTCAAGGTGGTAGAATGCCGGTTTTGGAGCACAAACCCGTCCGTCCAGCATGATCCGATCGCAACATGAGCTACGGAACTTAGGAAGCGAATTACGCTTCAAATGCGCTTTCAGTCTGAGTGGAAGTCGCATCGCGCGTGGCGAATTCAGGAAAACGATTAATTGAGAGGTTGAAATTTTGAAAAAATGAGGAAGTTCAAGCCTTCATGATTGCTTATTTTCCAGCATTGCTCCACAGACAACTCTTTCGTTTATGGGACAGAGGCAATCAAGTCACAGCATGTGCCCTATAATGGATGACCTCTGTAAATGCGGTCTATATCACACGGCTTTAGTGATCAATTATTACCTCTGTTTGTGTCTAATGTTACTCTATTTGACTAACATAGCATTTGAATGACTGATGCGCATAATTGAGTCTTTCAGAGAGTTTTCAGCTCGAATCTTTGGACTCGAATTTTTTTTCGAGCTTTACAAAAGACCTTCAAAATCAAAACTTTGCCATATAAGGTCAACGTGTTTCCTCTCTCTTAATACGCATGAGTTCTTATAACTTATTTTCGACCTCCTTTTCTGTTTATTTACTATGTTTACCTTACTCGAACATTCTCAACCACGTACCTGTCCGAAGCCATCGCTGCGAAACTAAACAGAGGATAATATAAAATATAAATAAGTAATATAAGTAGTGTGTTGGAATAATAATTTAATTAAATAAACAAATAAGGTAAATAAATAAATAAAATAGTACTGAATGAGCTCTCACCAGGAAGTTTCTTGGTTGGTACCGCCATGGGTCACAGCTGTAGTCTTTCAGTCCACTGACCAAACCATATTTGGAACTGCTCTACGACAGTGGCGAAAGCCCCCCTCCACCTTCTTACATATGTTTTGCTGGAATCGATCCTGCCCAGGCCAATCATACGCGGTTCTATTCCTCACACACCTTTACTCAAATCATGACAGTTTCTTACCATTTGAATACTGGATATTCTCTTCGAGTCCTCTACTTTTATAGGCACGCACATGTCAAGAACTGCAAATCTGAATAGGAGTTGAATACGGACGTGACTGACCAGCGAGAATGTTTATTCAAGTTGCCTTGAGACTCTCTAAGGGATTGTATCCGCAAAAACTCTAAGCATTTTCCCCACTTAAAAGCTCCACTCCATTGTGGGTGACTTACTGATCCATCTTTCTTTTTACTGCTTAAACTGGTAATGATTTGACTAGGTTCAATAGGAAGATTCAGGCGATTTACCCTTTACCCATGGCGCCTGAAATCCGACAAAAGTGAGGAGAGAAGCCTTGCGAAGTGAATCATCGGAATGCCTCAGTGAGCACGTTATAGAACCACAATTCTATTTACTTACAGTATTCATTTGTTGTGTTTCTAGTTTCTCAGCTTTTTTTGAGGGTGATCTGGAAGGGCGGGGGACGAAGCGAGGTGTTGGTTAGGCTCTGTGCAACGGATGGATAGGGGGCGTGACCTCTGTCGCACCTCAGTCAACTCCAAAGTGGAGCTAATTCAACAGCTCTTGCTCCCCTGCTGCTGCTCTCCGACTGCTAGCGACATGTCACTATTTGTCGCTTCTGTTGTTCTTCCATTATGATACAGAAATATGTGGGACGCTCTAAAGCCTCACCAGACCTCCCGTTTTGACGACCAGCCGAATGCCCGTACAATTCATTTTCTTCAAATCCTCCCTCTCTCAAATCTTCTCTTCACCTATAAAGTTTTCATAAACACGATAATTAACAGCTTTCCTAGTGATTCATTAGTTTTCAGCTTCCCTGCAATTTCGACCAATTTTCTCCAGAAGCGTCCAAACTATCGTTCTTCTTTTGAATTTGCTTCAGATCTATAGAAGCTGTGCAGTTGGAGTCAGATTCTTCAACACCTAAGTCCCTCGTTTCCAATTTCTGATGGATTGGTGCATGTCCTATGTTCTTCCTTTCTTTACCGCCCCATTCGACCATTTCCCCACTGGTAGTCCGTCGGATCACCTCTACTATCCTACACTGACTAGCCTTCGGGTCTGGTTACGAAGCCTAACCCTGCCCTGACTCTTTTGATTGATTTTATGCTTCTGCATCAGCTGAGGTTACTAGGTAAAAGAAATTATTATATCCAACGTTTCGATCGTCTTATCGTTTTCAGTGGACTGAAATGGCTCAAAGCTTCCGAAAAATACACTAACCTACCAAAGCCTTCTCCGCTCTAGGGTTGATGACGTTTTCTGAGCAGCGTACGAAAAACACTAACCTCAAATGGTAAGCTCATGAGCTCCTATAGTTTCCACCTTTGTTGATCCTTGCCTCTATTGTTCTTTTCCTTCTATTCATTCCTTTCTATGTGTCCTAGTTTTTTTTTCCTTCCATACTGTTCACCTCGTTGGTAAGCAGGCTGGAATGATGAGGCCGTGTGGTCGAGCGTTCGTCTCGGGTGTTTTTCCGAATTTTATTCACACCAGACCCAGTTTCCTAACCATATGGTTTGGAGTCCTAGGCGTCAATTATCGCTCTTCGAAGGTTCT